CCGAATGAGTACCCAAACACGTCTCCACCCCCGCTAACGATAACAACCAATGAACCCATCTAGACAGAGTGTTCATGGTAACTGGCTTGTATGGTTAGTATAAGACCATCAGATGTCCTGAATGTGACAATCTAAGTGTTGTCGTGATCTCCATGTAACAAAGTACCGCTTTAACTGCACAAAGACTGGGAAACCGCCGGGAACAGGGTAAGATACGGACGTGGATAAGATTTAGTTCTACGAGACACCGTAGAATTCATTCCTTCTGGTGATACCGAAAAGATAGTCTAAGTCGAACTCCAGTACATCTGATACCCGACGAAAAGACCTAAAAGTAACGTGACTATGGCTGACAGCTGACGGAGGGATAGGTCCGTGTTATCTGACTAGTTCCAAAAGAACCAAATCAAAGTCCCACAACAGTTATACTTTGACGCATGGTTCTGGACAGTTTGATACCCCGCAGAAAGCGGCATATCAAAGGCTCCTGATCGACCGGAGTGTCTTGAATCGTATTATGCGTCGTCGAAATCGCGGAACGTATCCCGTTAATGGAACGGTCCGATCGTTCCGATCGGCCCGTAGTGAAACGGTATGATAAAGATACACCAGCGAACTCCAGGTGTTCCATGCGGATAAGTTATTTCGGGGAATACCTGGTGTCCATGAGTCCCATAATAGGTCTCTAGTTGGTTGCGATAGTCCATTGACATACCAGTCTCCCCTGAAAGACACCAATCCACCAACTCCAGACGCTCCTGCATTATCAATGGATGATGTTCTCCTTTTGGATCTGCCCGAAGGCAAGTTAAAACTGAAGGAGCAGAGGATGATCCCGATTAAGGACAACAATTCTGGGTGCCACGCTTGACTCCTTTACCGCGGTAATGAGTACTACCGAAGTCTTCGCTATTCTGATCCCAATTTCATAGGTGTGTCCGGATCTCAGGCAGTGAGCTTTCAGCCGCTGCCTGGCCCGGTAGTGAAGTGGTCCTGGGAAATAGTCAAAGGGTTATGGTGCCTTTCCGCCATACCCGTCGAATTTCCTTACGAATCGTCGCTATCAATGATGTGGGAAGGTGTAATCCGCCCAAGGTGTAATTTATTCCGAAGTAGAGGAACTGAATCACTCGGAACTGGGTTCGAACCGACTCCTCTCTGTTCACTATGAATCCCAAAAATTCCCAAACTGTAAACATAAATCTCATTTGTAAACATAGTCAGGAATTGGATTTGCAAAAGGTCAGTAAGTCGTCTAGGTATGCGACAGCGGATACCCTTTGCTCTTCAGTGCGCCGTGACCGGCTTCAGAAACTTCATGAGTCAACATGTGAACAAGTAGGTAAGTGCCCTTCAAATCCAACCTTGCGAACTCCTTTCGAGGAGTAGATCCCCTAAGAGATGGATACCTTCCTCTTGAGTTGTCGGCACGCCCCAAAATCATTGGTTTGGCGTAGGCTGATGACTGGGCGATAGTCTCCTGTCTTCTTCCTTACTACCAAACCGTTGCTGAGATAAATGGTTCTCCAAACAATAGTCCGTCCGCCTGAGGTCCTCGCTCTTTCGTCCCTAACTTCAATGGTTTGAAATCCATCTTTAATTGGGCTGCTTTGCGCCGTTCTGTGCACCTGTCTGCCTTGCGTTACCCAACCTACATACTGCCCTTTGCACCCATTCCCTCACATCGTGAGCTTCTAGAGGTGAGTCTTGGGTGGGGTCAGGTCCGCAAAGAATAGAATTTTTTCCTGGGGCTGATCATGTCCAGTATTTCATCCTAACTCGTTTTGAGTCCTTCTCCTACACCTTTACATGGACCCCTGATAGGGACATAAATATCACTACAGTGATGCCGAGCTCCATGGTGAGGACTGTCTTGCTCGGTCATAGAAGGCGTGGGGATTCTACCCTGAGCTTGTCTCTGACTTCTTTTCCCATAGGCCTCCTGAGCCAGAAGTGGGCAAAGTGTGCCCGGTGCTCTGGTAAACCCCATTCGAATGACCCTGGGTGTCAGATGGTGCGTGAGTCAAAACAAGAGTGTCCAGTGTGCCAAAGAAAAACCTTCCTTGCTAGGCGACTCTTCTGCTCTCCATTCTTTCATGATATCCAGAGAAGGGGAAGGGATGAAGTCCTCGTCCCCTGATGATGGAGCCTGAGATGATTAATGGACAGGACGTTCTGAGAGATGGCTCCGCTAATTTAGGGTGTTCCTTTTCCCCTTTGGAGAAGCCGCGTTGGAGCCCTTCCAATGGTGTTTAGATGATAAGGTGTCCGCCCTAACATTGTCGGTATCTCTAGCTTGGTGTTGGTGCCGTTGCACCCGCTCTGTCGGATGGGTTGTTAGCCAGTATATTGGAGAGGACTTCTTCCTCCGAAGCCGCCATGGCGGCCTTAATCCTCACCTGAAAATTGGTTGGGGATATTGAGGGAAGTCCGACATGTTGGTTCACACCCTTTCGGTCTGTGGGAGACAGGATCGTACAACAGTACACTTATTGCCACTCAGTGGGCCTTCCACGTATAACTGGGGTCAACCAGAATTTTGATCAATCAGTACCACTTTCACAGGATCCAGGGAGTGGTCTGAGAATGAGGACACCCTCAGTAAGACCGGGATGAAGGGTCTGCAATGTCGGGACGTAGCCCGAGTATGGGAGACGTGAAAGCCTCAATATGTATAATCCAAGGGGTTCATCCTTATATGGCCTAGAATTGTGGAGTTTTGGCAGCACTGTGAGTTCTCCTTCTCAGTTAAGGGAAGGGCGTACGGATCCCCCAGTTGAAGCATAGAGGTGTCGGAATACATGCATCTAGTGCGCCCTGGTCTGTGCATACAATGTCAGAGCGTACTCTGAAGGTAGAAGCCCTAGAAAGGGCGCGGGGGGTCACCCCATCCGGCAGGGGGGTCACCCCTTCATACCTATGCCACTAGGACCGGAGAAAGACTCGCTTGGGGGTCACCCAGCGTAGGGGGGGTCACCCCTGTATGTATGTCTCTTATGGCATGTTGGGGCATGTTGGGACACCAAACAGGTGTCAGGTACGGTAGTACACTTATTGCCACTTAGTGTGCCTCCACGTACGACTGTGGGTCACCCAGAATTGTTTCAATCAGTACCACTTAGAGAGTTCCTGGGAATGGTCTGAGGAGGGGGTCACCCTCAATAAGACCGGGATGAGCGGTCAGTAATGTCGGGATGTAGCCTGTGTATGGGGAGGTATGGTAGCCTCCAAATTATCCAAGGGGTCACCCTTATGGGATATAGTACTGTGGAGAATTGGCAGCACTGTGAGCTCTCCTTCCTGGCTCTGTCGATTTACATGTACCCGGTCTGTGCATACAGTAACAGATTGTACTCCGTGGATATGAGCCCGTCCTAGGGCGTGGGGGTTCCCCCCAGTATATGTATGTCACTAGTACCGGAATAAGATTCGCTTGGGGGTCACCCAGCGTAAGGGGGGTCACCCCTGTTAATCACTCCGTTATGTGTCTCCACTACTGTGTCCTGGGAGGTGTATCCCTGTGGGGAAGGAGTGTATCCAGTGGTTGTGAGGTCCAGTGGCAGTAGGGAGCTGAGTAAGTAATCAGCTCTATTTAATTTCCCTGCCAGCAGACAGAGTAATGCATCCACTATGTGCCCACAGCAGGGAACAGTCCATTCATAATCCTCCAGACGTACAATAAAACTGTTATTCAACATGTCAATTGTATAGAACAGAATAGAGCAAACTGCCAGCAGACATGAGTACTGCATCCACTACATGCACACAGCAGGGATCAGTCCTACATATTCATGCAGAGTTACATATAAAACTTTTATTTCACATGCCAATGAAATATGACAGTATAGAGCTCAGCAGTGAACAGTCCATTCATAATCTTCCAGAAAAGGTACATATAAAACCTTTATTCCACATGCCCATGATATGTAACAGTATTGAGTACTCGTAAAACTTTTATTTCGCAGGAAAAATATATGAAACAGTGCAGATCTAGCTGCCAGTTCGTGGGAATCACGAGTGCCGCGAGATTCAAGATGGCCGCAGTTCGCGCGCAAAAGTGCTGTGTGGCCCGCGATTGAGGATACTATCGCGGCCCGCCGGTATGGAACAGAGTCCACCCCGACACCCCCAGAAACCTGCCCTGAAGTCCCAGCACCAGTGAATAAAAAGGCGTGCTCGCGGTAAACGCCACGATCCGTACGAGACCAGAGTGAAGCATAGGAAAGAAAAGGTTCCAGCAACAGAAAACCAAACAGGCTAATAAAGCAGAAAATACAGAGTTAAATCGGGGGAAGGGTAGCAGGGGGAGAATATCACACTATACAAGTCCAAATGGAAGGCAAGTGCAAAATAACGAAAAACATTTAGGCCACAATTGCAGGACGAGCTAATAAAGTTTAACTAAAGTGGCCATGCATATCCAGAAACAGTTTGGAGCAAAACTGAATGTCTAGCATTAAAAATCTAACTAAAGTGACCATAGCAATATTAATAAAAACAGTTGGAGCAAACTGAAAGTCAATTAATAAAGTTTAATTAAAGTGACCATTGCAATATCCAGAAAACCAGTTTGGATGAAAACTGAATGTCTAGCATAAGGTGTCTAACTAGAGGGACCATAGCAATATTAATAAAATAACAGTTTGGATTAAAACTGAATGTAAAGCAATAAATGATTAACTAATGACAATTTGCAATATCAGTAAAAGTTTGGAGCAAAATACTCTGACCTGTGCCTTGGCTGGAGCAGCAAAGAAAGAGGAAGTCATGTGTCTGTCACGGCTTTATATATGGATGTGATGCCTGTTACTGATTGGTTTAAAGTTTATTGATTGACTTGTGCTGCTGGAGGCATGAAGTAAAGAAAGTTATGCAAAATATGAAGCCTCCTGTCATGTGATAAAATTATTATTTGTTCCACCTCAAATTCTATCACCAGGTGAGGGGTACACCTACGGGGACTGCTTGTGCTCCCTTATATGGCAACCTTCACCTGTGTTGGTGGGAGAAGCATCTAGTGACAACAGATACCCTGTCCCAATACCGTTTTAAGATTCATCTATGGAAACGCTATATAGATGACGTCCTAGTGGTGTGGCACAGTACCACTGAGGAATTTAACAACTTTGTTTCTGCTCTCAATTTGACTTCTGAGTTTGGGGGCCCCTTGCTTAATTTTCTGGATTTTACTATCTCTATCACCAAGGAAGGCGTACTTCAAACCAAACTATATAGGAAGCCTTCAGCCTCCAATGTCCTCTTACGATGGGACAGTTTCCATCCGAAACCTCTGAGACAGGGTATACCTGTTGGTCAATACCTAAGGGTACAGAGGAACTGTAGTGACATCATGGACTTTAAAGTTAAAGCCAAAACATTGAGTCAGAAATTTAGGGAGAAAGGGTACCCTTACAGATGGCTCAAAAGAGCTTACGAGAGGGTGTTGGAGACTGATAGGAATGCCCTTATAGCAGATTCCCCTCCAAAGGAAAGTGCCAAAGCTATCAGCATGATGGCAACATTTGATGCGGAATGGAGTGAAACAGTCCATGCAGAGATTCTGCCGATCCTATTGAATGATGTCCATCTTTAAAATTATTGTTTTATATAAAATTATTATAAAATATAATCACGGCATGAAGAGGCAGAAATCTCAGGGATATCCTCGTCCCGAGCCACTGTCAACCTCCTGTAAAATCACCAACTACATGGTTAGGAACTCCCCCTGTGGCAACTATAGATCCGGGAGGTGCGTGGCATGCAAATTTATCCTATGGGATTCTAAAAATGTGACGGATAGTGAAGGTTTGGTGTATTTACTTGGTATTAAGGTTGTGTAGCGGAGATACAATATTACCCAGGTTATCTCCGCTTATAATCCAAGTGAGACTCAGGAACAAGTAAATAGTAAATCCACAGGCAAGGCTTCCAGCAGGTAAAATACAGCAATATCCCAACAGCAATCCCAATAACTGGACGACACACAGTTTCAGGAGCATAACTGACAAGCCTTTAATCACAGTCTCCTTATAAAGCATGCTCCCATGCAAGGGAGGGATTTACAGTAATTATTACAGTAGCCAATCCTGTCCTGGTAACCTCCCACACATCTCCTCCCCTCAGCCAGCATCATAATCCCCTTATCCAGCACACCAATTCCCCCCGTTTCTGGATGTACCCCTAAACGTAGGGGTACCTCTTTAAATCATACATCCCCTGGTAGCCCTGATCTGGGTGAACAACATATCCAAAAATCACCCAGATCAGACCAGGGGTTCGGGAAAAGTATGGAGGGAATAAAATGACCGACCGCACGAACTGAGATAGCCGAATCCGGTTCCATGTGAATGGGCCCTGCGGTCGGTCCTGGCATAAGGGAATAAAATACACGAAAACCTCTAGCTATAGAGGCTAGGGAGGGTTCGCCTGAATCCCCTCGTTCGGTATTTTCTATCTACCGAACGAGGGGCCGTTCGGTAGTTTGGAACCGAACGGACCAGGGCTGTGGAGGTCTCAGCGGTGTTCGCCTACTCGAGTGTCCGATTTTAGTTCCAGACACTCGACGGCAAAACACCGCTGTTCGGGAGTTTTAAAATGGCCGCCGCCACGTGTTCGTTTGTCGAATGGCGGCCACCCCCGAGAACAAAGGACGGCTACTTACTATTCAATTACCCGTTCGCAACAATGTTGCAACGGGTAATTGAGGACACACTTCACACAGGGGAGGTCTGGTTGTTCGGTAGTTTCATTCGAATAAACTAAGGGAATGAAACTACCGAACAATCAGAGGAATACAATTCTTTTTAATACATAGAAAATACAGCAGATGCACGAATGCAGGTATATACAGTATATTTGTAGGGTCGCCTGGTGCCATCCGCTACACTGCTCCCCCTTGCCCACAAGCCGGCATACACAGTCTGATCCAACACGGATCGGCTTGGGGATGTCCGGGGAGGCTCACGGATCATTTCTCTAGGTCAGTTTGTCGAGACAACCCATCAGCATTTCCATTCTGTTTACCCGGGCGGTACTGGATATTAAAGTCAAAGGGCTGCAGCGCCAGACTCCAGCGTAGCAGCCGGGCATTGTCCCCAGACACCCGGTTTAGCCATACTAACGGGTTGTGATCCGTGAGCAGGGAAAAAGCTTGTCCGTACAAATATGGCTGTAATTTCTTCAGGGCCCACACCACAGCCAGGCATTCTTTCTCAATGGCGGCGTAGCTTACTTCTCGAGGTAACAGTTTCCTGCTGATGTAAGCCACGGGATGTTCTCCGCCATCGGCCCCGACTTGGCTCATTACTGCTCCCAATCCAAACATAGAAGCGTCTGTGTGGACAAGAAAATGTTTAGTTGGATTGGGAGCGGCCAAGAGAGGGGCATTTGTCAATGCATCTTTCAACAACTGAAATGCCTGTTCACACTCCGGGGTCCAGGTTACTTGGCGGGGTAGGTTTTTACGGGTCAAGTCGGTGAGAGGTTTGGCCAGGGCACTGTAATTCGGGACAAATTTCCGGTAGTATCCGGCCGTTCCTAAGAACGCTAACACCTGGGTCTTAGTCCTAGGGGTAGGCCATTGAGCTACAGCCTCTACTTTGGCTGGTTCCGGCTTTTGCTTGCCGCATCCTACCCGATAACCTAGGTACTGTACTTCAGCCATGCCTATGCTGCATTTGGCTGGTTTCAGTGTTAAACCAGCGGCCCTAATCCTGTCTAGGACCGCTCCTATATGGGTTAGGTGTTCCTGCCAGGTATTGCTGAAAATGGCAATATCATCGAGGTATGCGCAGGTATAATCCTGGAACCCATCTAGGAGGCGGTCCACCATCCGCTGAAAAGTAGCCGGGGCGTTTTTCATCCCAAACGGCATGACCTTAAATTGGTACAAGCCGAATGGGGTGACAAAGGCCGACTTAGGGATGGCGTCTTGCGCCAAGGGTATTTGCCAATACCCTTTACACAAGTCAATCGTGGTGAGATAGTGCCCCCTCGCCATCCGATCCAGGAGTTCGTCTATCCTGGCCATGGGGTAGGCGTCAGATACCGTCTTCTCATTTAATCTCCGGTAGTCTACACAAAACCGGGTCGTGCCGTCCCGCTTTGGTACTAGTACTACCGGAGATGCCCAGGGGCTGTCGGAGGGCTCAATCACCCCCAGCTGGAGCATCTCATCGATCTCCTTGCGCATGTTCGCCCGTACCGCTTCTGGGATGCGGTACGGTTGCCCTGGGGTGTCGACTCTGTGAGTGGCCAGAGGAGTGTAACCAGGTACATTAGAGAAGATATCCTGCTTCTCCCTCAACAGCTGTTGTACCTCGCTCCGCTCCTGTGGGCTCAGCCGTTCCCCCAGGGTGACTTCCCCTAAGTCCCCAGATAACTGACCCTCTCCCAGCAGATCTGGGAGAGGTAAACTGTCAAACTCCTCGGAGTTAGGCGCACATATAGCGGTCACTTCCTCAGAGCGCTCCTGGTAGGGCTTCAGCATGTTCACATGGAGCATGCGTCGCCCCCCAGTACCAACGCACGAGCCGATTATATAAGTGGTGTCACACCGTTGTTCTACCACCTTATAAGGGCCCTGCCAGGCGGCCTGCAGCTTATCGTGTCGGACAGGTTTTAAGATCAACACCTTCTGCCCGACCTGAAAGCTACGGTCCCTGGCGCCCCGATCATACCATGTGCGCTGGCGTGTCTGAGCCGCCTGCAAATTCTCGCGTACCGTCTGAGTTAAGGCCTCAAGGCGGTCTCGGAATGCCAACACATATGGTATGATGGGGGTACCGTCAGTGCTCCGTTCTCCCTCCCAATGCTCTCTGATCAAATCTAAAGGCCCTCGTACCCTGCGGCCAAACAATAGTTCAAATGGGGAAAACCCAGTGGATTCCTGCGGCACCTTCCTGTAAGCAAAGAGGAGGTGTGGCAGGAACTTCTCCCAGTCCTTGTGGGTCTCTGCGAAGGTTCGGAGCATTTGTTTCAATGTACCGTTGAAACGTTCGCAGAGCTCATTCGTCTGGGGGTGGTAAGGGGAACTAATGATCGGCTTAATGTCACAGAACTTCCAGAGGCGCTGTGTGACTTCGGCGGTGAATTTGGTGCTCTGATCGGAGACAATCTCCCTGGGAAGTCCCACCCGGGAGAATATCTTCATCAGGGCTTCTGCTACTGTCTCCGCCTGTATATTCGTCAGGGCCACCGCCTCTGGATATCTAGTGGCATAATCTACTACTGTCAGGATAAATCTTTTACCTGACGGGCTTGCTTTGTTGAGGGGTCCTATTAGGTCAACTGCTACCCTGCTAAAGGGTTCCTCGATTATGGGAAGGGGGTGTAACTTGGCCTTGCGCCGGTCCCCCCTTTTCCCTACCCTTTGACACGTATCGCACGTGTTGCAATACCTGCGCACCTCCTGGCTAATCCCCGGCCAAAAGAAACTTTGGGTTAACCTGTATGACCCCTAAATGCTGACCCCTAAATGTCCAGATAGCGGAATGTCATGTGCTATCCGTAGTAACTCCGCCCGGTACCGCTGAGGTACCACTAACTGCCTCATCACAATCGGGTCTGACCCGGATATCTTCTTGTCTGTCTCCCGATATAGCAGCTGTTTGTCCCAAATAAACCTTTTGCCCTCCCCCCCAGGAGTGT